CATAAATGTTAAAATAATTTAACCAGGAATAAACTCCAAATGCAGCAAACAAAACTTAAGGAGGCTATCTTATCCAAGCAACTTCTGTAACCTCAGCCTTGAATGCCACAAAGCCACAAGAGTCCACTCACATAATATACAGAGACCACACCACACAGCTTATGGCTGATCTGCACACCAAATGCACAACCTGAGACTAACCGTGAGGAAAGCAGACCACACTGCTCCAGAGCTACCCTCAAACCAATGGACCCCACATGCCTGGAAACTGCAGATCCTGAGACAAAAGACAGGGGAACATCCCAGATTAAAAGAGAGTAAAGGACAAAGTGGCATCTTTTAAAATCAGGCCCTAGAGGGGGCGGTGGTGGCGCACACCTTTAATCCCAGCACTTGGGAGGCGGAGTCAGAGGCTGGCAGATCTGGTGAGTTCAAAGCCAGCTTGGTCTACAAATTAAGTTCCAGAACAGGCTCCAAAGCTACAGAGGGAAACCCTGTCTTGAAAAACTAAAAGATAAGATAAAGTCGGGCCCTAGATCAGAAAGCCGACTGTCTCCTCTGAATGAAGGCTGGGATGGTGAGATGATAATGAGACAGATTGCATAAAACTCACTTTAATCTCCTGACTTGATCACTGTATCCGGTTATTAAGAGATTGCCCCTGTTTCGTTTTCAAGTACAGTTTACTCTTAAGTGGTTTAAAGAGTAGCAACCAAGGGGATGTGAAATTAATATTTGGGAAATCTAGCTAAAGGACTCACAGAAATGGTATATATAGATATATATATACATATATACATATATATATGTGTGTGTGTGTATTTGCACTCTCTCTATAAGTTTATAAAACCAAACAAACAGGCTGAGGGGTGTAGTTCAGTGGTTTGGCACATGCCTGCATGTATGAGACTCAGAGCTTGATCTCCAGCATAATAAACAAACAAACAAGGGAGGTCTGTATGTCACACCTGTAATCAGCACTGAAGAGGCTGAGGCACGAGGATCACCACACATTTGGAGCCAGCCTGGGTTACCTAATGAGAACCTGTTTAGAGAGACAAAATAAATAAAAACAAATTATTAAATTAAAAAGAAAGCACACAGTAGCAAGGTTGGGTGAAGAACAGCCTGTGCAGGCAGCCGGACCACGCTGGAGCTTACTCCTTCCGGCCCCTCTGGGGTCTCTGATCTCAGTTTGATTTTGAAGCAAGTCCCACTGATAACGATTGCCGCCCAAGCTTGCTTCGAGCGCGCGTCTGGGACTTTGAAACTGGCTTGGCTCCAGTGAAGAAACATGACCGCGCGTGTGTAAATAATCAGTTGGACAAGAAAGCCGTCGGGTCCTCGGGGATGGAAATTTTCAGAAAGCAAGCAAGCGCCTGTGGTCCAGTCTCCCCCCGCGGAAGGCCTGCAACTCATTAGCTGCCTTACTGAGGAGCAAGCGGTCAGCTGGCCTCCTGGCTTCCGCTCTTTGCCATGGGCAGCACCAGGGGAAATCTCCTAGTCTTCCAGCGCCCCCCTGAAAACAGCAGCCTCGTGTAACCAAGGAGAGGGGAACCCTGAATGCGAAAGCGGCGCCGGCACCGGGGAAGATGAGCGTCGCTGGCAGAGAAGAATTAGTGTTTCGGCCACTCAGGCCTCCCTGAGAAGAAAGGAAATGCAATTCGGCAGAAACCCCTCTGAAAGCCCCCGTAAGCACGTGAGAAACCACAGCCACTGGCCAAAGCCCAGCGGACTCGGATCCTGTTTGCAGACCTATCCAGGGGGCACCCATGCCACCTGCCTCCAGGCCTGGGATTGCTCCTTCGTGCTTGAAGTTCCGAGCTCAGGGCAGCTCTAGAGGAAGGCAGGCAACAGCCCTCTGTCAGGGGACAGCAGATGCAGAGCAGAGTAAGAGATGTGTCCGTGAGCTGTCCCAATCTGTCGGCATCTCTCTATCTCTTCATGCGTCTCGGGGAACCACAGAGTCTCACAGCTGTGAGTTTTGCTCTCTGAGGACATGGAGGCCCAGTGAGCACACGTCTAGCAAATTCTAGCTTTTGCATCTTTTATGCAGCACATTAAAACTGCTCATCTTAGCAGCTGACAATGCGCCTGTCAGTCCAAGACTGACTCAGCTTCCTCCCTTCAGGCTGAGGGTTTTCTAAATATTTTTTTATCATACAATCAATGTTTTTATTTTAGAAACAATCTTATTTTACATATCAATCCCCCATCCCCTCGCCCACCCATCCTCCCATACCCCCCACCAACTCCTCCAACCCACCCCCCCCCCAACTCCCCAAGGATAGTGAGCCTTCCATGGGGGATCGTCACCCCATATATGGATGTTAGACACAGAGCAAAGGACTACCAGCCTACAATCCACATCATCAGAGAAACTAGGAAACAAGGAGGACCCCAAGAGAAAAACACATGGTCCCCTGAAGAAGGGGAGGGGAACAAGAACCCCTGAGCAAATTGGGAGCATGGGGGAGAGGGGAGGGAGGAAAAAGAGAAGGGGAGAAGAGGAGGGGGGGAGGAGAACAAGAGGGATCAGGAAGACTGAGACAGGGGAGGAATAGAGCAGAGCAAGAAAGGTTTTTGTTTTGTTGTGCTTGTTTTATTTCATTTGCATGGGTGTTCTACCCAGGGAGGCCAGAAGAGGGCATCAGGTCATCGGTTTCTGGAGCTCCAGGTGATTGTGAGTCCTCTGGGAGAGCATTAACCACCCAGCCATCTCCCAGGTCCATTTTATCATGTTTGATATTGTTACCATTGAAACAAGGTCTCATTTTGTAGCCCTGGCTGCCCGAAATGCTCTATATACAAAAGACTAGCCTCAAAAAACTTGCGATAGCTGGGTGTTGGTGGCGCACACCTTTAATCCCAGCACTCGGGAGGCAGAGGCAGGAGCATCTCTGTGAGTTCGAGACCAGCCTGGTCTACAAGAACTAGTTCTAGGACAGCCTCCAAAACAATACAGAGAAACCTTGTCTCAAAAAACAAAACAAAAACAAACAAATAAAAATCTAGTAAAAGGCCTTTGAGGGGGACAGCAGGTGCCACTGGGGACTCCACATCATACACACATAAGCTCACATGCGCGCGCACACATGCACGCACATGCACGCACGCACACTCACACACGCATGCACACTCACGCACGCATGCACACACACACTTTAAAAGCTCCGTTGTTATAGCTCACATAGATGTAAAAAGAGCCCTGTGACAGGGCTTTCCACACCCCCAGCTGCCTTAGGCCCTGTCCAAAGGGGCTTCTTCTGTCTCAGAAGCACCCACATCCACACATCTGACCGCTAAGGGCCGCTGGAGTTGCCGCAGTCATTGGTAAGGCAAGAGGACTAAGCAAGGCCTGTTTTGTGTGCTGTTCTGTTTTCTCTTTATCCTGTCCAGTCTGATGAAGCCAGAAGTTCAGGTTCAAAATTTACAAGATGGGATTCCTCGGGGTGCCTCTCTGGGTTCATGCTACCCAGCCCCTGGAAATCACTACCCTGTGGCCACTCCTTGCCAGTGGTGCGATCTGCCCTCAAGAAACACACCTAGAGAAGATTCCTGCCAGTCTCAGAATCAGGTTCAGAGCTGTTTGAATAGAAGCTTCCAGAGTTCTGGGTGTGCAGCGTTCTGGTCACAGGGCACACACTCTTCAGGTGGTCTGCAAATCTCTCTTCACACCAAGCAGGGGATAGATAGCCAAACAACAGCCTGGTGGGGGCGCTCTAACATCCAGCTACTTAAATTGTGGGGCGTGGCCCCGTGTGGGAGTCCTGAACCGTTTGGCACTGGGGTGACTGCCCGAGGAGACGGAGAGGGAGGAGACTCTCAGGATGCGCTCCCGACTGGTGGCTCACACACGGAAGAGGTCCTCACAGGCGGGTTGCTTGCCAGCTGGGACTCAACCCTGGGCGGGGAAATGCCTATAATGTCTGCAAGACCCCGAGCGGTTAAAACAGGAGAGAGCAGAAAAATGAGAGGTGGCTGGTAACAGCATTTGGAGCTTTCTCTACGCCTGCTGCATCGACTGGCCCGTGTAAGATGATACAATGACCTGCTGTCCAGCAGCCCCGGAAACCATGCACAGTGCAGTGCCAAGCTACCCGCACCAAGCACGGACTTGTGCATCTAGTTTTTGATTATTGTTGTTGTTTTGTGTGTCTGTCTGCATGCCTCGTGCCAGAACAGGCTGCCAAATCCCCTGCAACCCAATTTGTAGACAGTTGTGAGCTGCCATGTGGGTGCTGGGAATTGAACCTGGGTCCTCTGGAAGAGCAGCCAGTGCTCTTAACTTCTGAGCCATCACCATCCCCTAGGTTTTTTTTTCTTTTTTTAAAGGCCCTGAGATTTAGAGGCATGATTTGCATAATTATAACTTGGTGAACGGTAATGAACTGAGCCAAACTGATCCCTCCTTCCCTCCCTCCCTCCCTCCCTCCCTCCCTCCCTCCCTTCTTTCCTCCCTCTCTCCAGAATTTAAGGTAGAATTGCTGAGCTGCTTGCAAGAGGACTGGGGTAGGGGGTGGGGAATACCCTAAAAAAGTCAGAAACAGAAAATACAGAGATACCATATTTGTGACACATGCCTTATCCAGAGGGATTGGTTGTGGTCTGGATGGCCCCAGCCCTGTGACTTGATTTCTAGAACTCAACTGGGGGATCTAGTCATTCTGAGACCCACCAGGTGGTGGACTCCCTCTTGGAAACTGGGGTGTGTTTCTGTGAAGCGCTAAGTGGGCAGAGAGACCCCCGCTTGAGGACCCCCAATGCTGGACCTTCCTATGGGGGTAGGTTTCCTGCAGCCAAGGGAGACCGGCACCTTTGGGGACACATACTGCTCAGCAGAGCTCTCTGTACCTAAGCAGGCAGGATAAATGTCAACTCCCCATCCCTACCAAGGACTCACAGACACAGCAAACAGAATGAGTTTGGGGAACTCTCAGAGGTCTAGCCAAAGCCAGCTGGCTAGAGTTTTCATTTGCCCAAAATATTTTGATGCCATATTTTGCAAATACATTTTAATGGTTCCAGAATTTCCATAAATTTTACTTCTTTGGACCCATCTCAAAGCTCAGGCCAGCACAAGAATGCTCTTCTGTGTCACACTCCTTCCACAGGCCATTGTCTGGACGTGCCTGCCCAGAGAAGCAAGGCTGAAAGACTTACCTGTCACCTCTTCAAGGCCCCCCACCCCACCCCGTCTCTATGCACCCTAGTCAGTAAGCTCTCAGATATGGGTCACAGGGAGGACCTCCCAAGGCAAAGGAGTATCTGAGCCAGCCAGGGCTGACATGGCCATTTGTTGGGTTTGGGAACTTCCCCTAAGCGTTGAGGTTAGCAATGTATGTGGGGAGGTTGCCAGTGTGCACAGTACAGCGTGAAGATGCGTGCATGAGGCGTGAGCAGGGGAAGGCGGGCCCAGCCTCTAACCACCTAACCCTCTGTGGAAACCCACGCGCATGTGGACGTTGGTGGCACACGCCTTTAATCCCAGCACTCGGGAGGCAGAGGCAGGCGGATCTCTGTGAGTCTGAGGCTAGCCTGGTCTACAGAGCGAGTTCCAGAGCAGCCGGGGATACACAGAGAAACCCTGTCTTGGAAAACAAACAGACCCCATGTGCAAAGCAGAAATGAGATCCCTGTAGAGACGCCCCCCCCTCACCTGCACACGGAGTCTGAGACCCAGAAGGCTGGGTTCAAAGGCAGGGGGAGGAGTGGGCCATGCTGTCAGCACCGACACACGGAGGTCCAGGCAGAGGAGATGGTGAAGAGCGGGCAGAGTCATGCAGAAAAACCAGCTGGGCAGACGGCCTCGTCACGCGTGCCTTGTGCCCTGGCACAGATAGGAGCCTGTGTACAATTGAGCGTGTTGCTACATGTGCCAAGGAGTCTGCCTGTTACCAGACCTGCCCAGCCAGGGCCCTGCCCTCGGGAATGATTCCAACAGGCAGTGTTACCACGGGCAGCCTCCTTTCGAAGCTGATGTCATATATGACGGGAGGAGCCAGCAGCCTTTTCAGGTGGGGCCTCACACGCACAGAGATACACCAAATCACACGCTTGAGCTGCGCATACACGGCTGCTGCTTCTCATCAGTGGCCTGGGACAACTCTGCGTGTGTGTGTGTGTGTGTGTGTGTGTGTGTGTGTGTGTGTGTGTGTCTGCCTGCCTGTCTGTCTGTCTGTCTGTCTGTCTGTCTGTCTGTCTGTCTGAGGCATAAAGTATGAGGTCCACCTCAGGAGTTCCAGTCATGAAATCAGCCCCAGCCTCTCTGGCCTTTCAGGACTCAGAGCCACGCCTAGGCTGAGGGCAGATGGGGGCTGTTCACTCTGTTCAGGAGTGACTCCTTCACCGTAGGGGTGCAGGGCAGAGTTGTCCTCTCCTGACCCAGGGTTTCAGGTCGCCGTTCTTGTACCCAAGTTCCCTAGATACAGAAGATCTGGAATTTTGGAGGTAGTGGGGGAAAAGGTACACAGAGAATATTCCATCTTGAAGCCCAGAATTTTCCAAGCACTTCCAGAGCAATCTTATAGCAAGTCTCCCCCTCAGCCCCTGTACTCATCAGCCTGGTTGTGTTTTTGTTTTATTTTTTCTTTCTTTTTTGTTTTTGGCCAGTGGCCACCATCCACACTCTAAGTATCCAAGACTGTTGGTATCCTAAACTGGATACCAACAGAGCACATCACTCTGGTTCCCGTTTTCTGTTAGCCTCTGAGGAAAGCTAAAAACAGACGTGTCAATCATGGCGGCTGGGTGGAATGGAGACAAGCCTGGCCCTCTCTGAGGCTATAAGCCAGCCTGGTAGGTAGAAGAGCCTAGTGCTGCTATGCCCAACTTGACATGGGAAGAAACTCACAATATCCAGCCACCAGGGGGCAGGCTGCACCTACCCGACCACTGGCCCATTTCTGGGCCCTTATTCTTGGTTATGAGTGTCATTTTAAGTAGGAAGGGAATGGCCCCTGGTCCCGCCTGGCACCAGATAGAGGGTATCTCTGAGAATGTATGCAGAGGGGAAAGATGGCTAGAAGCCCCTGGACACGGCATTCAGCGGGAAGAATCTGTGATGAGGACGGCAGGTCTTGGTAAACGGATGGATGTATCATGATACCGAAGGTGAGCATTTACCCCTTAGGAATGATGTCACACCGAATCTCAAGCATTTACCCCTTAGGAATGATGTCACACCGAATCTCAAACATGCACCCATGCTTTGGTTACATAAGCTAACAGACTCCCTACTGTTGCTAAAGCTGCCTTGAGTTCTTCTTTTAACCCACAGACACGCTCTAGTTATGCGATGCTTAGTCCTTGCACAAAAAGTTACCGGTGAGTGGGAGCTGGAGAGACGGCTCAGCAGTTAGGAGCACTGGCTGCTCTTCCAGAGGTCCTGGGTTCCAACCCCAGCACCCACACGGTGGCTCACAGCCATCTGCAACTCCAGTTCCAGAGGATCTGACACCCTCTTCTGGCCTCTTCAGAGAGCAGGCACACACACGTGGTACACAGATAAAACACACATGTGCATACATTAAACTTACTTTTTTTTTTAAGTCCTCCGTGGTGAGTTCGAGACCAGCCCGGTCTACAAGAGCTAGTTCCAGGACAGCCTCCAAAGCCACAGAGAAACCGTGTCTCAAAAAAAAAATTCTCAGTGGCTCCAGTTTATCTACAGGCTGAATTCCAGCCTCTTCCTCTGTCACTACACAGCCTTCTCTGTACAAACCGGATGCAGAAATTCGCTAGCTCAGAAACCTGAAGCCCCCTGAGAATGACTCCAAGTGACATCTCTGTGGTGACTCCACACAGAATAATCAGCTCTCCCCTGTGCCATCCGTGATTTTCCCTCTGCCTCTTCTACTGGACCTCAGGCCTTTCATTAGGGCTAGCCTGCAATACGGAAGCACAGTGATTGAGTGTGGGTGAGACATGGCCTGGTTAGGCTGGAGTGGGCGGGGCTCCTTGGAACCTTCCTGTAGAACCTTGGCCAGGTACCCACCAGGAGAGGAGAGATGCTTTCTGGAGAAACCTCACCCAGGCCAAGTCCTAAAGTATCCCTGAGACACACTCTGCTGCGCAGCCACCTGACCGGCCACCAGGAGTCTCTCTCTGTCCAGAAACTCCTTCCCTCCTCCCCTTTAGACTCTGCTCCTGATAGAGCTGAGAGGAAGGTGCCAGAGACTCAGAAGAAGACAGTGACCAGGAGGCAGCATAAAGGACACACGAAACTCAGGGGACACAGGACCAAGAAACAGCCTGGGGAGGAGCTTCAAGGATGGAGAGCAGGCTGGAGCGCCAGACTCAGGTCATTCCGCCAGGCTTCAACCCTCAGCGTGGGTACCCAAGCCACAGGCTAGGAGGCCCTTTCCTCCCTGCTGGCCTCTCCCTCCTCAATCCCAACCAATGGGGTATCTGGAGTGTGTTCAGTCCCCTCTGTCCCCGCCACAGCCACCAGTTCCCTTCTGAATGGGTTCCTCTACCTTTCAGACCACTGTTGACCAGCCGTTAGCTGGCAGGAATGTTCTAAACGTGTGGCTTCTCATATCTTTGGCATGCTCTTCCCTCTAGACAAACCCGTGTCTCCTGTGTGGTAAGGCTCCACTTGACCACACCCTGTCCATCACCAGACCCTGGTCTCAAAGCCCAGTTTCTTCCTACGCTCCTCACTCACTGCCGCTCTCCGTACACACCGAGAGCTCACAGCCACACTCTCTGGAGTCTCTACCTTTCCATGGAGACCCGGTCTGCCCTTGACAGTGCTTCTCATCCGTCTTCCCATCCGCTCCCAAGCACGGCGCCTCAGGGCTGAGCTCACCAGCTCCAGCCTCACGTGCACACGCTTTCTAATCTCTGATACTCCGTACCATGCAGCCCTCCTCCTCAGGCCGTAGTCTCTCTACATTTCTCCACAGCCCTGTTTTTTTGTTGGTGATATTTCATTTGTTTGTCTTTTTGTTGTTGTTGTTGAGACAGGGTTTCTCTGTGTAGCCCTGGCTGTCCTGGAACGCACTGTGTAGACCAGGCCGGCCTCAAACTCACAGAGATCCGCCTGCCTCTGCCTCCCGAGTGCTGGGGTTAAAGGCGTGCGCCACCACCGGCTGGCTGTGTTTGTCTTTTTCAATCTTTCCCACTAGTATTAAGGAGCTGTATTTAAAGAAGCCGGGGGTAGTGGTGTACATCTTTAATCTCAGCCTGAGTAGGAGACAGAGGCAGGAGAATTAAAGGCGTGTGTCACCACACCAGATCCAAAGCTGTTTTAGTATCAGTGGCACAAGAGTACTCTATCATGGCAGCTTGTAAGGGAAGCATGACTGCTACCCAACCTTTTAACTGCCTCTGAGCCTCTCCCAGCCTTGATGTGGTTGACCTCCAATGACTGCCATCTGTCCTCTGAAAACTGGGGATGCTTTTCTCAAATTCCCAAAGAGCCACAAATAGGAACACAGTCACGCCTGATCTGTGCGAGTGCAGGGTAGCTCAGCTCCATAATCCCTAATGGCCAGATCAGAGCCAAGCAAGCAGGAGGCACTTATAAACGCCTGCTGAATGGACAGAGACAGCCAAGCGTATCCATTGTATCTTTCGTCATTTCTCAAGTTTTTATTACTCTTAGGTCTTTCCTACCCAGGATCAAAAGCACGTCCCCATATTTGGTTTGGTGTGTTTTCTATTGTTTATGTTTAATCAGTTGATTCATCTTGTATACATGGTGTAACGACTAAGGTACAAATTCATATTCTCCTCACGGTTAGTCTGTGGGCACATACTTTAATCTTCCATCTGCAAACCAAACTACTGTGTCATCTCAGACTCTTTCTATGATGTTACGCAATTATTTGTTACAGTTATAATGGTTATGTCATAATATGAGAAACATATTTATAATTTTTAGTATTTACTCCTAGAAACAGCTGCAGAAACATACCAAAACAATGGCATTATCAGGAGACATGCTAACATAGAAGAGGGAAAGTTTCATAGGATTCCACATCTAGGCGAAGAACTAAAGACTGCTGGGAGAGAATTAGCCCCTCCCAGGGATGAACCCCCATAATGGCTATCCAATACCAAGTGGTCATTTCTGAAACCATATACACACAAACAACAAAAACAGACTCAGTAGGCTGTACTTATGACTTGACACACATATCCATATACTTTGTGTATAACAATAATACTCATGTAAAATGTATTTAACTTTTTTTTTGGTTTTTATGAGACAGGGTTTCTCTGTATTGTTTTGGAGGCAGTCAGTCCAGCCTGGCCTCAAACTCACAGAGGTCCACCTACCTCTGCCTCCTTCAGCAAATCCTACCGGTGCGCGCCACCACAACCGGCTGTATTTTTTTTTACTTATTTTGCACATATATAAACATATATACACACGTATATGCATCATGTATGTACAGTGCCTGAAGAAGCCAGAAGAGGGCACCATATCCCCCTAGGACTGGAGTTACAGTCAGTTGTAAACCCCTATGTGGATGCAGGGAATTGAACCAACTCCTTTGAAAGCACTGGCTGTGCTCTCAACCACGGAGTCACCTCTCCAGTCCCAACCCTATCATTTTAAACATGTGGTTCAGTTTGGTTTTATAACTACATAAAAATCTTGTCAGCAGTGACAATGAGAAATGGAGGAAATAAAAACTGATGTAAGGGTGGGATGATGGGTAATATTTTTCTTTCGTTTCTATTAATAAATTGAAATTTTTGTTTGTTCATTTGTTTTTGTTTTTCGAGACTGGGTTTCTCTGTGTAGCTCTAGCTGTCCTGGAACTAGCTCTTGTAGACCAGGCTGGTCTCGAACCCACAGAGATCTGCCTGCCTTTGCCTCCCGAGTGGCTGGGATTAAAGGTATGCGCCACCCCGGCATAAACTGAATTCTTAAGTGAACTGAGGATGGGAGAGAATAAGGACTTGAAAGACAGAAAGCTGAGTTCATCCTCCCCTGATGCAGTATCTGTGCCGCTCCCAGCCTTGATTAGAGAGTTGCTTACTTACTGCAGTGGGCGGTGGTCCATTCGGAGACGAATCACCATTCAAAGTGCCCTGAATAGGCGATAGGGAGCCCAGCCACAGATGTGCCATCCCCCTCACTCACCCCCAGCCCGCGCCCAGGCTCAGGGAACACGTGGAAAAGGAGGCAGGGAGAGTAAAAGCAGGATAGGGGAGAGAGCTGTGAACCTTTTCCCTCTTTCACAAGTTACCCCAGGGCAGCTGTGGAGGCCTGCACAAGATCAGGCCAGGCAAGAATTCCAACAATGAGTAGGGAGGGGCTGGAGGGGCCACACCCCCTTAGGAGCTATGGGCCATTGATGGCTGCTGGGCCAGGAGGGGTTTCTTTTCTCGAGAGGTGTAGCCACTGGTGATTCCCCCGTGCCTCAGTGAATGACCCCACATCCATGTGCCAAGGCTAGTTGTAATCAGCAGATCAAATAAATAAATAAGCAATTATAAAGGAGGAATTGAAATTGGACAGGAGATGTAACGGGGCTGCTGCGGGGAGTTGAGGGATGAATCGATCAAGATATAGTACGTGTATGAAGTGTTCAGACAACAAGAAGGAGGGAAGGGTGAGTGGGTGAAGATGGTGGGGTGCGGACGAGCTGCTGCTTTAGTTAGGCAAGAAGTCAGCGTTGCATTCCCCAGCCCAAGCCAGTGGCATCCTGGTGCTCTGCATGGAGAATCACTGCTACAGAAAAAGCTAAGCAGGAGACTCCTCCACGTGCGAAAATTGCTTCCTGTGGCCCTTTATCCAAATGAGCGACCTTTGATGTACTCCCACCCCCCTTCCCTTAGGGAATCCAGAGCTTAAACACAGGGCCAGGTGAGTCCAGATATTCCAGGCATCTGTTCGGGATGTGTGGCAGGCACCAGATGCAAGTCCTGGATGCTACCGACTTTAATGAGTGCATCTGCGAGGGTTAGGGAGGTCATGCCCCGAGGGTGGACTGCTCCGTGGCTTGGCTGCCCCAAGACACTCACTGGAGTCCCTAAGGTGCTTTGAGGAGGGCAGATACTCGGGGTCAGCGCACACTAAAGGCACCCGGGACGCCATCTCCATGCAGAGCACCAGGATGTCACTTGCTTGGGCTGGGGAACGCAACGCTGACTTCTTGCCTAACTAAATCAGCAGCTCGTCCGCAGACGGGGCCTTTCTCGTGTTTCAGGCGCAGAAGTCTTGGTCCTGTGGCGGGGCAGTCTCCCACAGTGGGGCTCTCCCGACTCCACCGGTCTGCGGGCTCACCGCCACCAAGAGGCGCTTCTGGAACATTCTTTCCAACTTTGCAGGCGCTCTCCGGTGGACATACAGCTTGACTGCTGCAGCTCCGGGATCTCACCCGCGTGGAAAAGTGAGGAAGTGCCCCCGGGCCTCCCTTCTTGAAAGCCACTGGGGGAGGTAAGGGAGTGGGGGGGGGAGGCAAGTGCGCGCGCAAGCGGGAGAGCGGGCGGAGTCAGACTTTCTTCTCCAGTCCGCCCACTACGTCACGAGCCCCAGGAAGCGGTGATTGGCCAGCAGCGCGCGCGAGCGCCCGCGGCCCGCCCCCTTGCAGCAGTGCCCCGCCCACCGGTTGACAGGGATGCAAGTCTGGCCTGCAAGTTGGAACAAGAAGGTGAGGGCGCCCAAAGACTCAGACCCTCCAAAACTGGCGACTGTGACCCCAGACTCGGCAGCGGCCCGATGCCCCATGTTTGAGTCCTGGCCCGACTCCGTTCCCACAGGCCACTTCCGCCCTCAGCCACCCACAACCTCCTTGCAGCCTCCGGGAGGCCGAGGCGCCCACAGCCCCTCGCCGAGGTGCCCAGGGCGCCACGTGCCAAGGGGTCTAGCCTCGAGGACGCACTGCTCCGCACAGACTCTCACCCCGACTGCTAATGCGTTCTGCACAGTGCGAGCCGGGTCTGCGGACTCTGCGCGCCGCTCACCGCCTCCTCACTGCCGGGCCCAGCACCCCCTCCGCCTTACCGCACACCCTAGCTCTACATCACCCCAACTCCGTGCCCGAGCCCTTCTGCAGCCTCGCTCCCCAATCCCCTGCGGAACCCTCCATTCCCAGTCCGAGCGTCAGGACGTCCCTCACCCGGAACCCACTAGCGATTGCAAACGTCTCCCACGGCGTCTGGCCTCGGGGTGAATAAAGCTCCCTGGGCCTCAGCCGGCGATCCCGTTGCACCCGGGCCTCCACGGCGCACGCCCGGGGCGCTCATCCATTCGGCGCTCCCCGGCCCACATCCCGATCGCTGAGCCCGCTCCTTCTCCGGGGCTCCACTGCACCCTCCCACCGACCCCGAGGCCCCCCCGCGCCCCGCGCGCGCGCCGCGGCCCTCGGGCCCCAGACCACACCCCGCGCGCTGGGCCCCGGACTCGGCCCCGCACCCCTCTCCCGGACGGGCGGGCGGGCAGCGCCGGCGGCGGTGGAGGCTAGTCCTCGGGCCGGGACACACCCACCCGCCCGCCCTCCTCGCTTTCCTCCCTCCCTCCTGCGCTCCCTCTCTCCCGCCCTCCCGCCCTAGCTCAGCGCTCGCTCCTTCCCTCCGTCGCCCGCTCGCGCTTCCCGCGGCGCCGGGCCTCCCGCTCCGCCTCCCCGAGCGCGGCTCTCCCGGGCGCGGCTCCGGGGTTCATGCTGACGAGGCGGCGGCCGCTCGAGCCCAGAGGCGGCGGCGGCGGCGGCGGCGGCGGCGGGAGCTGGGGCGCGGGCCCCGGCCTCCTCTCTCGGAGCGCGGGGCCGGGCGGCGGGCGCGCCCCGGCGGCGGCGAGCGCCCCACCGCGCCGCGCCCCTGCGCGCCCCCTGCGCCGCGCCCCCGCGCGCCCCCCGCGCCTAGCTTGCGGGGGGGCCGGGCCTGCGGGCGGCCGGCGCTGCGCGCACCCATGGACGGTCCGGCCATCATCACCCAGGTGACCAACCCCAAGGAGGACGAGGCCCGATCTCCCGGCGCGGGCGAAAAAGGTGAGGAGGGGCACCGGCAGCTGCCGCGAGGGGCGTGAGTGCACCCCGCGTCGTCGGAGTTCTCGGTGTGCGCCCGCACGGGCGTGGGGGAGGGGTGCACCGGGCCAGGAGGGTGCGTGGGTGTGGGGTGCGCCTGGAGCAGAGGGAGGCTGCGAGGGTGCGTGTGCCAGCTGAGCTCATGGGAGCGTGCTTGAGCGAGCGAGAAGTTGGGATCGGGTGTGTGCACCGCACAGAGCTGGTCTAAGTGTGCTTGCGGTGCGTGTGGCAGGTTGTGGGTGCACCTGGTGTACGCGCAGGCCAGCTGGGAGACTGTAAGGGCGTGTGTGCTTCTAACAGATTGTGTGTGTTGCCGACAGGCTGTGAGTTTGTGGTCTTACGTGGTGGCCTATGTGCTTCTGTCTGAGAGGTGGTGGATTGTGTGCAGAGCCGCAGCCTGGGGACATCGGGTGTGTGTATGTGCACTCCTGATGGAGTTGGTGTGCGTGTGATTGTGTGCCTACGCTCCCCAACTGGCAGAGCGAATGCACACTGTGTCTCTGCTGTAAGGGTGTGTGTGTGTGTGTGTATCTGCCGCCCTGACCGAGAACCTGTGGTGACCCGAGTGCCCAGTGAGGCCGCCTCTTCAGAATAGTTGGTTGAGCATGTGGAAGGGACTCAGCGCTGACCCCACAACACCACACACACACGAGAACACTTCCTTCTTAGCTCTTGTCTCAGAGCCATCCTGAGAGGGGACTCCAAAGCCTGGCATCTCAGGCCTCCGGTGGCTGAGTGGGAGCTGTCCCTTTGGGGGAGCGGTGGCTGAATGGAAGCTGTCCCTTTGGGGGAGCTGGTTGGGGCGGGGGCCCAGCCGGCAATGGGGTGTTGTGCCTGGCTTGTTTGGGGGCATATTCTGGGCTCAGTCCCTTTCTCTGTTTACTTTTTGCTCTTGGTGTGTTGACCCCTCGGAACTGCCTGGAGTCGCTGTGTGCCCTGCTGCTTGGACAGCCTGTTTTAAAGAGCAGACCAATCTGCCTTGGTTTGTTCTGGTGGCTAACTCACACTTCACTGACCTCCTGCGGTGTGCAGCAGGACACCTGGACCCCCCCCCAGGACCCGCTTGCCCCCTCCACTCTGCATGCCTGAGCAAGGACTGCAGCCCTCCTGGGAAATAGGATGGGGACAGCAGGACAGTCCAGCACCTCCCCACAGGCAGGACCCCTGGGCCAGCCTGGAAAACGCTGAGTCTCCAGAGGATCCCCTCAGGTGGGGATTTGCCTTCCCATTTCACTCCATACACGGTAAACACTGGTCATCTTCTAAATGTAGAGAATTCAAACTCTCCCCAGAAGCCCTCCCTGCCCTACAAACAAGCTTTAAAAACCCTGCAAGAGGGTCTGGTCTGCATCCCACGTCTGCCTGGGGCCTATGGGAATAGCACCCCTGTGGTCTAGCCTTCCCACCATAGGGGCCAGAGTTCTTGGGGGCCCTGGCTGGGTATGTCCCCTCCAGGAGGGTCTCTGAAGGAAACATCAAGAAAGTTTGGTGAACTCGGTGTTCTTCTCTCCTGTGGGCTTTTGAGAGTGAACCCTCAGTTCTTGTAGCAAGAGGTACGGCTGGCGGCGAGGGATACTTGTCAGCACCTGGGCCCTCTGGCTGCTCCGTCACCTCAGAAGCAGGCAATCCCCTGACTGCTCAGATTCCTGAAGCAGTTAAGTTAGTCCATAGAAAAGCCAGACGTTGTACATGTTACTGGAGGCTTGTTGACATTGCTTTTCTGTACAGGCTTTTCACATCTTTAACCGCCTATTTTGTTTCTTTCCAGTGTGAGATTGGTTGCTTGTCAGCTGATTGGGGGAATTCCTTGCCTGCTGTCCTAGGGTGGGGCGCCTGGCTACTAAAAGCATTAAAATCCCACCAACATTTGTTTTTCACTTCAGAAAGTTAACATAATTTTGATCGTGTGTGGTATAGCACAATACTTGAGAATCAATTTTTATTGTTCTTTTTTTAAAAATATTCTTGGCTTGGCTGGGTGGTGGCGGCTCATGCATGCCTTTAATCCCAGCACTCAGGATGCAGAGGCAGGAGAATCTCTGTGAGTTCAAGGCCAGCCTGGTGTACTGATGGGAGTTCCAGGGCAGCCAAGGCTACATAGAGAAACCCCATCTTGGAAAAGAAGACAACTGGGCTTGTTCTTTGACAGCCCCACCTATAAGCAGGGTCTCTTGATCGTCTCCGCCCCCCAGCTCCCCACCCCCCACCCCGCCCCCCTCCAGCACGTGCTCCTCCCACCTTCATGTCTATTTCTGAGAATCAGATTCTGGAGCAGATTCTTGAGAATAATAAAACCACCAAACAGGTTCAGCCGTGCTCCCAGCTTAAGTATGCTGATAATCTTCAGATAGGCAGGACACGCTTTGCATGATTTAAATTAAGACGGTCATTTGGTTATTAAACACTGAGCCCGCAGTGTTCAGAAGTGTTGGTGGTATGAAAACGGCGGATGGTTTAAAATGCTTGCTTTCATTATCTAGTTCCGTCCAATAGGAATGACGGTGACCAGCCAGCCTCTCTGGGATTTGATGGGAGGGTAAGAGAAGACTGAGAACTCTGCCCTGGGGACCCCTGCCCCACAAGCCTTGCTTCAGCACAGATTTGCAAAGGAAGTCTGGAGTGCTGGCAGCAAGCTGAAGCACCTCTTGACACAGCACGTGTGGTGGCTGTCGCTGTCAGATTAGCCCGTCACTGATCTCATTCCTTCCAGTTGGGTTTGATTGGGTTGCTAGGGTGAGGGTACCAGGAACAATCCCCTACCCCCCCCCAATCTAGCTGTTCCTGCTTCCCCATCTCAGAGCACTTAGAAAAGCAGACAAGAGATAGGAGTGAGAAGGCCACGGGGGAGAAAACCCGAATGACTCGTGAATCTGTGAACTCCCATTCCCAGGTCATTCTTGTTAAACATTCAGTGTTCAAATATGACAGATGTTTGGAAGACGGCTCCGATCAGTAGACTTGGGAGAAAGTAAAAAAAAAATCAAATTTTCTTGTCCTTAAGATTGACTTAATTTTTATTTCACATGTATGGGTGCTTTGCCCACACATATGTCCATACACCCATGGGGTGTGGAGGCCAGAAGAGGCCCTGGAACCGGGGTTACAGGTGGCTGGTGAGCCACCATGCAGGTGCTGGGACTGAACCCCGGGTCCTCTGTAGGAGCAGCCAGCTCTCTGAGCCAGCCTCAGGAGTACAGGCGTTTTTAAGTGTGACTTAATACTTACAGGATGAGGAATGCTTTTGGCTGCCGCCTAGGCCGACTGACAAGCGTCCGAGGTCGGCTGCTCCCGTGTTAGAGCCAGCGTCACAGCGATTGTCCCATGTTGCCTCCTGGGCGACACCCCTCTAGTCCCCTAGTCACTCTCAAGGAAGGAAAAGAGACAGAGCCCGCCATGCTTATCCCTCTTAACCCGGAAAGCCGACCATTCCCAGGGACAGCTCGGGAAACTTTTGTGCCTTCATGTTTGATTGGCCTCCTTTAGCCTCAAGCAAAACAGAGGGAATTAACTTTTTACGGCGTGTCTAGCCCATGTAGGAGGAAAAGAAGACCAAAGCAGAGGGGACCAGTGTGGGTGCAGTTGATCCCTGTGTCTGGTCTCTGTCACAGAGGAGTCGTCACCTCTGGGCTCCAGGACATAGCATGGTGATGCCACTGCCGACTGCCCTTGCAGTAGCAACACTCCCAGCCATCCGGGGTCAGCAGGTGAATAAGGCTCAGTCCTGCAGAGCAAACGCCACCAGGCCACAGGAACAGACACGTTACTTCTGCACATGCAGACATGTGACTTTCTGAGACATTTCAAAGCAAGAAGCCTCAAGAATGACAAACAGTGTGATCCTATCTTGTTTAAAAAAATGAAATATGCAGAACTGAACAAATGTCTAGAAACACACACACACACACACACACACACACACAATGTGGGAGGAGCCAGGTGCACAGGGATGATTCTGTCAGGGGCGAAGGCTGAGCAGCGAGTGAAACATTGGTGAAAATGGTGCTTCTGGTTTTGGATGAATTGTTTCTTACTAAGAAAGGGCATTTCCCCTAGCTCTTTGGAAAGAAACCATCCGAAGGAATTGTACAATAACAAAACAAACTCCAAGGAACCTCGATTAATATGCAGAAATACCCAGAACATTTCAGTGCTGGCTAAACAGCTGACTGTTTTGTGGGCTAGTAGGTTTGCTGGAGTTTACCGCAGGCTGGTGTATTTGTGCCCAAAGCTCTGACTCTGCTTCTCATAAATGTTTGTGGCTCTTAGTCTTTTATAAAATACAGCTTAAAAATGTTATTTCATGTGTATGAGTGTTTAGCTTGTGTGTGCAGAGGCCAGAAGAGGGAGTCAGACCAAGGCTGGAGTTAAACACAGCTGTACATTGATTGCCATGTGGTGCTGGGACTTGAACCCCGTTCTCTGGAACAGCAGCTTTTAGTCGTAACTGAGAGCCTCCAACCTTGGAGGTGCTGACAGATCTACCGCAGAGACAAGGTTCTTACAGCAGAAATGATTTCAGACGACGGGATAGATTGAAAGGAGGTTCACACTGAGATTTTGCGGAGGGACTGCGAAACAGGGTCTCAGGAAGTTCAGGCTGCTCAGGAATTTTCTGTGTAGCTAGAGTTAGCCTTTACCTCCTGGGATCGCAGTGACATGCCAGTGTGCCCAGTTAAGTTTTTCAGAGTAAACTTTTTGCCGTGGTTGTGGTTGTTGAGACAGGGTTTCCCACGTAGCCCTGTCTGGAGATCAGGTTGGCCACAAGCTCAGAAATCCCCTGCCTCTGTCTTTCAGTGCTGAGATTAAAGGTGTGCAGTCTACGACAGACTTAAATTCCCCATGCCTGACTTAAACTTCTGTTTAGACATAACTGTAGATTCGTGTTGTTACAAGAAATCACACAGAGGTGTGTGGTGGTGCGTACCTCTATACTCCAACTGCTGAGACCAAGAGCCAGATTCCAG